ATGGGAGCGTCTTCAATCGTCTCCAGCCATGGAAGTCTATGGGGCTGTAATGCTCGGGTACGGCCAGGACTTGCACCCCTGCATGTAAACAGTGTAACGGCGGCCATCAATTCAAGGTATTTCTGTATCTTAGGGGAGGGGTCAGGTTAGGTCAGGGGGCCAAACCAATAAGTGCACTCATCACATGTCGTGACTGCATTAGTTTTCTTTTTTTCTCCTCATGATCCTGCCAGTAGCACACTTCCTGTCCTAGGGTGACAACGCTCTCTCACTGTACTGTATCTATGGAAGATCAGTGTTGTCCCCCCCAAGGTAGGAAGTGTTAGGACGGCAGAGCACCCCCAAGACGGGAAGTGTTAGGACGGCAGAGCACCCCCAAGACGGGAAGTGTTAGGACGACAGAGCACCCCAAAGACGGGAAGTGTTAGGACGGCAGAGCACCCCCAAGACGCGAAGTGTTAGGACGGCAGAGCACCCCCAAGACGCGAAGTGTTAGGACGGCAGAGCCCCCCCTAGACGGGAGCTGTTAGGACGGCAGAGCCCCCCCTAGACGGGAGCTGTTAGGACGGCAGAGCCCCCCCTAGACGGGAGCTGTTAGGACGGCAGAGCCCCCCCTAGACGGGAGCTGTTAGGACGGCAGAGCCCCCCCTAGACGGGAGCTGTTAGGACGGCAGAGCCCCCCCTAGACGGGAGCTGTTAGGACGGCAGAGCCCCCCCTAGACGGGAGCTGTTAGGACGGCAGAGCCCCCCCTAGACGGGAGCTGTTAGGACGGCAGAGCCCCCCCTAGACGGGAGCTGTTAGGACGGCAGAGCCCCCCCTAGACGGGAACTGTTAGGACGGCAGAGCCCCACCTAGACGGGAGCTGTTAGGACGGCAGAGCCCCCCCTAGACGGGAGCTGTTAGGACGGCAGAGCCCCCCCTAGACGGGAGCTGTTAGGACGGCAGAGCCCCCCCTAGACGGGAGCTGTTAGGACGGCAGAGCCCCCCCTAGACGGGAGCTGTTAGGACGGCAGAGCCCCCCCTAGACGGGAGCTGTTAGGACGGCAGAGCCCCCCCTAGACGGGAGCTGTTAGGACGGCAGAGCCCCCCCTAGACGGGAGCTGTTAGGACGGCAGAGCCCCCCCTAGACGGGAGCTGTTAGGACGGCAGAGCCCCCCCTAGACGGGAGCTGTTAGGACGGCAGAGCCCCCCCTAGACGGGAGCTGTTAGGACGGCAGAGCCCCCCCTAGACGGGAGCTGTTAGGACGGCAGAGCCCCCCCTAGACGGGAGCTGTTAGGACGGCAGAGCCCCCCCTAGACGGGAGCTGTTAGGACGGCAGAGCCCCCCCTAGACGGGAGCTGTTAGGACGGCAGAGCCCCCCCTAGACGGGAGCTGTTAGGACGGCAGAGCCCCCCCTAGACGGGAGCTGTTAGGACGGCAGAGCCCCCCCTAGACGGGAGCTGTTAGGACGGCAGAGCCCCCCCTAGACGGGAGCTGTTAGGACGGCAGAGCCCCCCCTAGACGGGAGCTGTTAGGACGGCAGAGCCCCCCCTAGACGGGAGCTGTTAGGACGGCAGAGCCCCCCCTAGACGGGAGCTGTTAGGACGGCAGAGCCCCCCCTAGACGGGAGCTGTTAGGACGGCAGAGCCCCCCCTAGACGGGAGCTGTTAGGACGGCAGAGCCCCCCCTAGACGGGAGCTGTTAGGACGGCAGAGCCCCCCCTAGACGGGAGCTGTTAGGACGGCAGAGCCCCCCCTAGACGGGAGCTGTTAGGACGGCAGAGCCCCCCCTAGACGGGAGCTGTTAGGACGGCAGAGCCCCCCCTAGACGGGAGCTGTTAGGACGGCAGAGCCCCCCCTAGACGGGAGCTGTTAGGACGGCAGAGCCCCCCCTAGACGGGAGCTGTTAGGACGGCAGAGCCCCCCCTAGACGGGAGCTGTTAGGACGGCAGAGCCCCCCCTAGACGGGAGCTGTTAGGACGGCAGAGCCCCCCCTAGACGGGAGCTGTTAGGACGGCAGAGCCCCCCCTAGACGGGAGCTGTTAGGACGGCAGAGCCCCCCCTAGACGGGAGCTGTTAGGACGGCAGAGCCCCCCCTAGACGGGAGCTGTTAGGACGGCAGAGCCCCCCCTAGACGGGAGCTGTTTATGGCCGAGCGCCCCCCAGACGGGAAGTGTTAGGACGGCCGAGCCCCCCCTAGACGGGAAGTGTTAGGACTGCAGAGGACCCCCAAGACGGACCGAATAAGAGTGAATTTTTCGGGTTTACATACCCTCTGATTGTATTCGGTGTTTTGGATGTTTTATGACATGCTTTCTTTTTGGCACAGCGGCCTCGGCTACATTGCGGGGTCACAGGTGACAAGCGCAGCGGGAGGAGACTGGCACTGGGCGCTACGGGTGAGTGGATAGGCGGATCTTGGGGAGGTTTCTGAGGTCAAAGTTCAGCATGAAGGTTTATTATTAGATTTATGTGCCTCGGTCAGCAGATTATGACTGTTGTACCGTCTCTCTTGCAGGTAACCCCGGGACTCGGCCTGATAGCGGTCCTGATGCTGATCTTCTTTGTGAAGGAGCCTCCTAGGGGCGCAGTGGAGAGGAAATCTGACCTATCTCTCACCCACACTTCATGGGCGGCCGATGTCAAGGAGCTGCTGAAAATGTGAGTGTTCCCTTGTTGCAGATTT